AGTTAATTTTTCTTTTTTTTTTTTTTTTAGGATCAGCAAAATGCAAAAACGCCGTGTTTTCATAGGTGTCAGTCATTGACTCAACTCAACAACACACTTAAACATATGACCAAACACCTTGCAAGCATCCAACTTCCCTTCATCTAGACTTCAACAATGGCGAATCCCGTCCCATCCGAGAGCGCGCGAAAAAGAAACCAAAATACCAAATACGAAGATTTACTTCGAGAATTTAGCACACTTTCCATATCGTTTGATCATCAAAGTAGCAAAAAAGAACCTTTAATGCAATCTAAGTATCATATTAAAACATCAAATAAGCTGGCAGTTTACATAATCTCATAAACAAAATGTCACTCTGAGAACTCAAAAAAAAAAAAAAAAGACGCTTTTCGAGGAACACGCTCTCCTCTGCTCAGTAAAGAACTTAAGAGGAGGAGGAGAGCGTGCTCGAAAAGTAAAGATCGATAAAGGTATGTTCTTTCCATGGAGTTCTTCGATTTAGAGATGAAAACGGGAGCCGGTGATGATGTAGCAGGCGACTCGGAAGCCCGAGAGAAGCGCAGAGAGAGCGAGGAATGCGAAACCTCCGACACCAAGGCCGACCGAGATGTAAGCCTGCACGCAGAACGCCCCAGCGGCGTCGCAAGCTCCGTCGCCATGCAAATCCCTCGCCACCCCTGTCCCCGTCGCCTCAGCGGCGAGAAGCATATACGCGAACATCTGATGCGCATTCCCACAGTCTAATCACCAACTAAAATTAATTCCCAAAATCGGAAAATTGGAACTAACATACCTGATCGTGGCTGAAATCGAACCAGAGCTGCATCGACTCGGGAAGGAAGGTTCCGCCCTTCAGGATCTCCCAAACAGAAGCGAACATCTCAAAGAGGCAGTAGACAGAGACGATTGAATTGGCAGCGAGGACGAATCGGAAACTGGGGTAGTGGAGCCAAGAAGGAGAGCCCGGTGTACGAGAGGAGTTGGAAGCCATGAAGATTGCTGCTGCAAGTGAGAAGCAGAATGCGGCAAATCGGAGGAGGAGGATGAGAGCGTTGAGTCGACGGAGCTTCTGCTCTGTAACAGTTGATTGGAATGGATTCTGGCCGTGGCGGACGACGGCTGGGGAGCGGAGGTCTCCGTTGCGTAGAGGGGAGGGCATCGTAAGCGGCGTTGTGGGGGAGGATTCATGTGCAAAGGGGAAGCTTATGGTTGGTTTGGGAAGAAAAACAAGGAAGAAATATCGGCAAAGAAGATCTTTTTATTTACTTTGAAGGTCCGTTGTTGGAGTCACGAGAGAAGCGAGAGAGGCTAAGGGCTATTTATTTCTTCTTTCCCCCCTCGCGGTCCGCGTGAGGAAGGGGACGAGAGGATGGGAAGGATGATAAAGAAACCAGGTGGGGGCACTGTACATGAATTTGTTCTTCTTCTCTCTCTCTCTCTTCAATCACTTCGTCGCTGGAAGGAAGAAGAAGGAGCAGGCGAATAAAGATGGTAGGTTTGGTTTTGGATGTGAAAAGGCGACGGCTTGAGGGCGTTGAAGGAGAACACGCAAAAGTCTGGGTCCAGCACCGTCCGGCGGCCGAGTAAATAGGTTAACGAATGTACAGAGTCATTTAATGCAATGATAAGACGATTACCGACGGTGACAATTACCGTCACTTCTACCTCATTTGCCGCAAAGTTCCTTAATCCCATTAGCTTTCATCCTTCTTTTCTCTTGTTGATTTTCTTTCCCATCCATTTTAAAGCTAAGAATCATGAATATATTTATGAGGTCTCTTTTTTGATGGGACATACCAATAAATTTCAATTTTCGGCATTTAGTTTTTATTTTTTTTAACCATAAAACCGGAAATAAAATTACATGAAAAAAAAAAAATGGGATAAAGCACAATAGGTGCATTGTCAAAGGTGTGGCTTCATCCAGACTAACACGATGACCAAAATATAATTTATATTCTTATTATATTATATATGTAATTTTCTATTTATAAAACATATTCATATTAAGATTTAAATTTATAATTATTAAAGATTTTAATTGTGTTCAAATTTGTTTATTTTTGTCAAATATTTATCACATATTTATACTATTAGTTTATTTAAATCATATTAGAATAATTCACATTTATTGTGCCATTTGATTCAATTTTGATTGAACATTTGAATATTGAACTTCTCATTTAGCTCATCCCATAGGCTCCCATTACTCTAAGAACAGAATTGACATAAAATTGCCCTCTATTTCAGCATCCAATCAAAATAGCAAAATGAATAGTGGGTGAAAAATATCAATTCATTTTGTTTAGGCGATACGATAACTTTCTTGGATCAATTTGAAGGTCATCAAACCTTAAAGGCCTATGATATATGAGAAACCTAAACTAGAATTCTTGAACATTTGTAAAGACAACTTTCAAAATATATTGCAAACAAAATCTCATTCTTTTTAAGTTCTTGTTTGACCTATGTGTCATTTTATAGTTGTTGGAATATAATTATGATACATTAATGATTATATCTTTATATACTTAATTGAATTATATTATATGCGGGGGGAAAATGTAGGTCACCCCGCTGCTTGTTTCCAACATTGATTGTTATAATAATATATCGAGCCTCTTTAATGTAGCAAGAATTCATAAATTTCTATGAGCTTATAGTAATTTTTTTTTATAATTTAAATGATAATAGGAGCTTTATTTATGAATGAATAAACTTCACCTAATTTAAGGGTGGCTCAATTAAGCATTAATTTTTTTGTCAGATGACTTATATCAAGGGATTGATCTTGAAGACTTCGGACATGTAAGCCTTTTAAAAGGTTAGATTATCTTATTACATATGTCCTTATTTACAAAATTTGGCTTTGGAGGAATGAACAATTATCTGATAACAACATAAACTCCATATTTATTATTACAGTAGAAATTAAAGTCCATATTACTTACAATTTGAACAGAAGCTTTGTCAAGAGGAGAATTGGCCTCTATAAGTTTTACATTCGTAAGAGAATGATTTGTGATGTTTAATGTTTCTTCATCATTAGGCTTTGCTCTTCTATTAATGCATTTGCTTTCATAATTTGTTGAAAAGTAAGATTTCTTGTTTTGTATATGTTATTGTTGTTTTGTGGTTTGGATTTGTGCATTTGCTATTGCATTTATTTATTAAATTTATGTGCACTTAATTTTTGCAACTTTATTTGTGATGTTATTACTACTACAAGAATTTAGGAGTTGCCGGTTGATCAATTAGACAGTAATAAAAGGATTTTCTGCAACTAATTTTGATACCAGTGGAATCTAAGCAAAAAATGGTCATCCAAGATATCCCTGATCTAAATTTTGTTTTACGATTGAACACATTTCACGGTTCATGATTTTTCGGTGGAGTTATGACTAAATTTCAATTGAAGAGTTTTTCTGCGAATTATGTTGCCGTGAACAAATGATTTTGTGAGTAGTTTTACCATAAAAACCATTGGTGGATTACAGGCTAATAATGTTGTCCTTAAAAAAAAAGGGGGAAATTTTTGGCTGATGGGACCCATCGCTTCTAATCCGACTACTAATTTTGGAAGTTTGTAAGAAGAAAAAGGGGGCCTTGCCAAAGAAATTTTAGACAGATTTGCAAAAGAAAATAAATTTCAACTATACCCATGACATCTAAGAATAATAAAATCATAATAAATATAACATTCAATATAAATAAATCATTTAATACAATTATAGAGTCTATAAAATAAATGTAAAAAGTACAGATAAATCTAAAAACACAGAGAAAATAAAAAATTATTGGTCTCAAGTGTCCTCCTCCATCTCCTCCTCCATAATAGTGTACTTGTCATGTCGATGTGTGTCGCATTGCAGCTGCTCAATTCCCTCTTCCACCCTCGTCACCGTCGACTTCTCGATTCTGGGATCCAACTTCGACTCCATCTCAAGTAGTTCAACATGTTTATCATTTTGGTGAATGTAGGCACACACTTGCTAACTTCATATTAAACAATGCTGGTCTCTCACCAGAGATGGAGCGGTATTGTTGAATCCTAAATTGTCCCTTGTGAACACGCCTCGAAAGTTATGGTCAGATGAGGGAGGAAAGAAGAAGTAGGGGATAAGTCATGAATACACTGTCGGGAGAACGGTGAGAGGTCCCTTTATTTGTCATTTTGACTCCAACTTATAGGGTCATATTTGTACAATTACAAAAAGAAGTGAACAGTTATGAAAACCGTTCTTAATACAATTGATTCTCTAATTAATCATATAAATTAAATATCATATATGTGTTACAATTTAAACTCTAATATGATGGTAACTCGCTGGTTGATCTGCTTGAATTCGGTCGGTTGAGGCGACTGGTTGAGTGGCTATTGAACAATTTAAAGTAAATATCGGTCGACTGAGGCATCTGGTCGAATGACGATCTCATCCGCCGTAGAAAAAACTAGTTGGCCGACTAGCTTGTGACTAATGTTATTACATGTGCTTTGGTCTGTTGAGACTGCGGGTGCGGTTCGCCACTCTCGCAAAAGTATGTCAGTCGATTCTGATCACACAATCACTTGTTGGACGATAGAATGCTTTGATTGTCTGACCGCCATCAGGGTCATTTTAGTGTATACAAGTATATATATGTAAAAATACCACCACTTTTACTTTTAAGAATTGAAATTCACATATTCATGCATGGGAAATGGGGTATATATATAAAAATTGAAGTTTAGTTGTTAGATGCAGGAACTTAGTGGTATGTATGTAAATCTTCCTTACATTTATAATGCCGAACTTTTCATATTACATCATTAAAGCTACAATTTCAAATTTTAAACCAACTCAAGTAAAAAACCAAAATCTTAAATACATATAATTGGAACTTTGGGTGCTAGATATGTAAATACACAGAAGTTGAGGGGTAAGCATGTAAATCTTCCAAAAACTAGAAAAATTAAATCATCAATACAATAAAATACATAAGAGATTAACGATTTACATTTAAAAAAAATTCAAAATTTTAACATAAATTTCAAATTTTCTCTAAAACCTAAAATCCCTAAATAGCAAAATGTAATGGACGAAATATAAAAATAGAATTTGTGGAAGGAGAAACGTAAAAAATTCAATGTTTTATCTTTAGAATGGTTAATAATGATGTGTTTTGAACCACCTAATGTCGTCAGAAATACATATAAAAAGAGGACAATAGCCTTCCAAAAATTAATAAATAGACTCGTCTTAACATCAAATTTTGATATGCTAACTTAGTTGCACTCTTGGTATCAAGACCAATAAATGATACAATTTTCTCATCATTTAGATATATTGCTAGGGGTACGAATCACCAAGGCATCATTGGACCATTTACTAAGTAGTCATTCTAGACATGACTAAGTGGATCCATTATATAAGTAGGATTGTATGATAACAATTTAATCAGTTGGGGTATGTACTGTTATCCAAATTATTGATGACAGAGCAAATATGAAAGATTTTTATTAACAGTGACAAAAGGCTCTCCCAAATTAGATAGCTAAGCCATGATTACACACATTCTATTGTCTAAAAGGGACTTGAAAATTTGTAAAGCCTTTGTATGGTAATTTCTTTTTAACTTTGATCGTTGACTTAATTCCTTGTCAATTATTTTTCATGCTTCTAGATTCTTCATGCTTCATTAATTTTAGGTTATCTAATTCTCCAACTTTTCAAGAGTGGGATAGCTAGGGCCACCTCCAATCACACGATTTCTCTTCTTCTTTAGAAAGGAATTGCCTTAAATATTCTTAAGCACCCACCAACTCCAAATTAACACTCTAAATTTTAGTTGAGAGACAATTCCAAAGTCACCAAATGGCTCAACATTCTAAAATATTAAATTATGATGGATAGTTTTAATATATCAAAATCATTATTCTCAAAGAGGGGCCATCATATCTGTCTAAATGGCGCTTAACAATTTCAAATATTTGTTTCTCCCATTTCTCTAAGATCACTATCATTTTATCAAACTTTGGACATCAAATTTATAATCTATTATTATTATCAGCAACATTAGCTTAATAATTTCATTAATAACCCTAATTTTTCACTTCTTCCTTTCAGGGACTTTCTCTATCTTTTTTACCTTTTTTTTTTATTTGTGACTTTTTAGTGACTCGAACAACCTCTCTATGATCATCCAAAATAATACAATCCATACACCAAAGTGGCTCATGACATGTTAGATGCAAAACCAACATTGCCTAATTAGATTTTTTACAAAAGATATTTTATCACCCACATTTCACAACACAAAGCCACTATATTTTCAGGTACTAAAACAAAATAAAAGCCATCATTTAGTACATACTTACAAATATCAAAATATATTCTATTCTAATTATTTGTGCAAATATAATAGCTTTGATTCTCCAATATGTTTAATAAAATAAAATTCTTATATCATTAATAACCTCATATTTAATTTTAAAAAGAAATATATAATGCAGTAGAAGTGAGCAAATAGTCTAGGAGATCTTAAGAAAATTATATCTATATTTAATGCTCAAAATAGTGTTGTATGTTTCTTAGCAATTATTTTATTAACTTGGTAAATATGTGCTGATAAATAGATTTTATATATCTATGTATAAAAATCATATGTTGATTGTCAATCGTGATCAATAAGACTATGCTCCTGCCATAATTTGTAGGTACCCCGTCAAATCAGCATGCAATAATCCATGCAACTCGTTTTTATCATGCAAAGTAGTACATATATGAGATACCTTTTCTCATATTACAAGTATCATGAAAGTTCAGTATTCTAGCTAATTATGTCATATTAAATGTATAATCACAATAAATTAAATATAGGGTTATATCTTATCCTATAAATAAATATAATCATATGATATAATTTATAAAAATCATTAACTCTACCATTTTATATATATAAAAAAGAGGATAACTAATAAGTGATGTTCAAAATATTACTATTTATACAATCTATCATTCATGTGATATTTTTGAGGTACAAAGTCAATGCATTTACATATGTCATGATCAAACAATTGATAATTTGATAAAAATGAAAAATATGGGTTGAGGTTTCATCATAAATTTTGATATTTGAGTGATAATTTGAAAAATGGACGAAAGAGGATGTATGCATTTGACCCATAAAAACAATATACAGAGTTCACATATATTAATTTGTATATCTTTTATTTAATATACAGTTCACACCATTAACTCCTATGCTTAAAAAAAATCTCATCAGCTCTAAAAATTATTGCATACATTCACCGTACGCAAAATTGTGTACGGTGAATCAATAAAAAACTTCTATACGAAAAAAGGATATGTTAGTGGGCCCCAAATTAGGATTTTTTTTTAATAATAATTTTTTTTTTATTGGAGCCTATATGAACCTTGCATACGGGCTCTATATGTAAAAAAACGCTTCATTAGCTCACCCTTCTATATGCGACAATCAGTTTTTATGAATCTCGAACTCACTGCCTGCTCTCTTTTGAATATGTATTATAGAATTTTATGCTATACTTAATATTCATCTTATCATGTCACTTGCAGTGCATATGAATTTTCATGTACATTAGAAATAATAGGAGTTCATAGAATAAATTTATATTCTAAAATTAATTACATTTAAATTATAACAAATGAATTAAAATATGTTTCCATGCCACATATAATATATAATTATATTATGATAAGCACACAATTCTTATGTATTTACATTTTAAAATTTAAATTTTAATATTTTAATTTTTAGCATTCAAATCTTCAATATAACATTAAAAATAACATTATGATGACTTTTATAAAATAAAACATATTTTTTCATACATAAATTTAAAGCAAAAGTGTTAAGCACGTAAACATGAAAATATAGATTTTGAGATATGTAAATATATAAGAATTGTGTTATATAGATGTAAATTGAGATAAGCACACAAGTATGCATGTGAATTTGGCTTTATTATAATATAAAAAAACAAAATTATTATTATGTTGACAGCGTAGTGGCGCGCTCTGCTTAATTAGAAAGACACACCTCAGCAGCTTACGTGGAGGGCTGCGGCACCGCCCAGCTCTGCATGTTTGCCGCGTCTCCCAGTCCGGCCCAGCTTCTTCTTCTACTTCTTCACCGCCGCCCAGCTTCTATATATTTGGCTGGTCTTCTCCATCACCGCCCGTACTATTCCCAGTTTCTTCATTCACACAGACACAATTTACCTTCGTATAAATTTCGGCAGTGTTGACGGCCATGGCTTCAAACCTGAACCCCGCCTACGCTTACACAGTTGTGTACGTCAAAGACGTCGCCGAATCCGTGGCCTTCTACGCCAAAGCCTTCGGTTACCATGTTCGCCGCCTGGACAAATCTCACAGGTCAAGCTAGCTCAATTACTTAAATTTCTTCTCAGTTATTTTGATTCGCATGATTATCAAAATTAAAAACAAAATGCACAATCCATTGTAATCTCTAACAGTTGAGAAGTTCTAATGCTTTTTAGATTTATCAAGTCTTAAATTTACAAAAATTGTTTTGTTTTAATTGAGTTAAATCATATTTGTTGGAACGTTTAATGCAGACTTAGGTAGAATTTTGTCAAAATTATCAAAAACAAGTATTTTACTCTAATAACAACTTAATCATTTTAAATTTTTTATTTTGGATTTAATAACTTTTGGGTGAAAGTAAAATTTTTGAGATTTATATCACTTCTAAGCCTGTCTCCTCGCTTCAATTAGATCACAAACTTTAAAAATATTCACCTAGCTATTATTTTTTCCAAAACTTAAATATATTACTATTTATAACCCTAAGTAGTTCTATGAATTTTAAACCTTCAAATTCTATTAAATTATGCTTGAATTAAACACTATTTGTTGCCCAAAAATTCCCCTCTTTTTTAAATTATTATATATTTTTATTCATACAAAATTCGCAGCATAGGCCTATACTTGAAGATCTTATTAGGGGTGCAAGTGAGCCAGTTTCAACTCTAATCGTTTGGGGGCTTCTAAATTGAGCTAGCAAACAAGCTCAAGCGGACCTTGACTCGAGTTGCTTGCTAGTGAAGAGGTCCTCTAAAAAAAATTAATAAAATATATTAAATTTAAATTTTTGAATTTTTAAAAATATATAACAAACTTTATTTTTCATTTGATTTAGATGGTTTCTTATTAATTATCTATTAAATGTTAGTTCTATTTATTATTTCATTATAATGTTACTTTAAATTAATACCTTTTTTTCTCTTTTTTTTTGTTAAACAAATTTTTTCTCGTAAATAGCCCAAAAAGCTCAAACTAAGGTGGCTCAATTGACTGACTCTGACTGGTTTGTAACCCTATCAATCTCATTTGAAAAACAAGCTTCTCTAAATAGCATATATTGCATGCAGATGGGGAGAGTTGGATAGCGGGAATACGACTATAGCTTTCACGCCTGAGCACCAGAGGGAGACTGACGAAAAGTCTGGTTCAGTTCAAAAACCGGTTGGTTTGGATGCGAGGCAGCCGGTCGAGATCTGTTTCGCCTTCGCCGACGTGGACGCTGCCTACAAGACGGCGGTGGAGAGCGGAGCAGCTCCGGTGAGCCCGCCGGAGGACAAGGAGTGGGGCCAGAGGGTCGGCTACGTTCGAGATATTGATGGCATTGTGGTGCGCCTCGGCAGCCACGTTAAAGAGCCCGGCTCTTCTCATTAATTTAACTCGGAGCAAGCTTATGTTTATGGAATAAGAGGTTTTGATTATACAAAGTTTTTGGTCGGATCTTAATCTTATTACGTTTAATCAATTAAATAAAGCTCTTGTTTTTCCTTCATGTGAAGGCTAAGCGAAGTGATTCATTTCTTTGCCTGGAAATGGAATATTGATCAAATTCTTTGAAGCATATTTTGGAAAATTTGGCTCAATTTAATAATCAAGTCAAGTCTCTCATGAAGAGAGAAATCTGATGAGCCCATAATTGCTCAATTTCGAATTCATTAAGAAGCTTATATTATTATTAAATTTCTATGATTAAGAGAAATTTAATCCTCAGATCATAAATTAACTCCTACTTTCCACCTGAGAAGGGGAGAAAGAAGAGTAATTTTAGAGCCTTTGTAGTTTATCATCGTTGAGTCACCCTTTGAACCCTACTCCTTGAGAGAAAGGGACAAGTCATCAACTATGATATGTGTGGTCAACTAGTATTGTTTATGAGTGTAACAAGTTGAGCTGTGCTCGAGTCATCCTCAACTTGAGCTTGAGTTTGATTAATTTTGTTGAGTTTAAGCTTGACTCGAATTTAAGTCTACAAGTTTGAGCCAGCTCATGAGTTGTATTGTTTATTTTTGAAAGAGTGAACATAATATTAATTAAGAGATTGTTACAAGAATAGAAATAAAAACATAAAGAACAATTATGAGAGAAATAATAAAAACACACTTAATATTAAACAAAATATTTTTTTAGATATTTTAAATTAATTTAGGGATAAAATTTTTGAATTTAATATATAGACTAAATTTTAGATTATTATTTTCTTAAATGAGTCGGCTCATGAGGTCGAACATAGCTCAATGTTGGCTTGTTAGCCCATTGAGCTCAATTCGCAACTCCCCTATCGAGTGGAGCTTGAGTCAGATCACAAGTCGGCTTGGCCCACACTATTAGTATTTCTACAACTGCAGACTATGACCTTTATGACTAACGCTACTGCATTGACCAAATATAACATTTGTGTCCAACAACCATAAGTAAAGCTTTCAACAAAAATATCAGCTGTTAATTGTCATTATTGCAGCCGCCAAAAAAGATTTGTGTGCCGTTATTGGGGCAAGCAATTAACAACTTAATTTTATCACAAAAACTTACATTCTATCTATTTAATAAATTAATAATTTAACTTTTATTCTAATAATTTTTTGTCAAACATCTCCAACAAATTTCATTTATTTTTTGGGAAAATGAGAAAAAAAATATAAATAAGTGTTAAAAAAGAGACATGATCTGATGATATTCTTTATTTTATTTTCAATTAAATATATGATCAAATTTTATATTATTAATCATTAAATTAAAAAACCAGTCAGTTAGAAGTTTGAGATAAAAAATGTTTAGTTAATTTCAATAGTGCATATTATCTTTTGGGCGGAGCGTGAGAAGTGTTAAAGCCCATCCAAATGTTTCCGAGCCCATTCAGTAAGAATAAGAATTGGTACGTTTATCAAAGCCATGTCCTTGAGGCCCAAAATAGCTTCATGAAAGCCCATCATTAATCTAAGAATATTTTGCACATGTTATATTAAATAACAAAACAAAATTTTATATCCAAGAAAAATGAATTATTATAACGAAAAATACATTTTAAATTGTTTTTTTGCGTTTTTATTTTTTTATTAATAATTTAATTAAAGAAAACAACATTAAAAAAATCATCGCTTAAAAAGATGTAAATGAGCTATTGAAGGGGAATAGGACAACTCCCAGAGGAAGTGTGGGACTGCCATATTTTTTTAAAAATAACTTTTAAATTATTAAAATTATAACAATTAAGTTATAGCTTAATATTATGATAGCTTAAGTATGGCCAATTATCAGAGGGCACATCAATATCTTATGGTGACACGTACAGATATTGCCTAGATTGTTAATCGTCTATGCCAGAAGATACACTTGCCTACTACACTTGATTACAAACAACTGACTAATTTGTTTTGTTATCAAAAAGGTATGATCATCAAATCAGGAAACCTCCAATCACAGCTTATATTGATACCGACTGGGCGGGGACGGCTCAGACAACAAATCCACAACCAAGGTATGCTTATTTCTTGACAATAATCTTATGTCCTAACAAGTGAAGAAACTGTCCACAATTACTTGGACCTCAACGAAAGCTAAATATCAAACATTAGCCACGTCTACGACTGACATCTTATGGCTCAGGCGTCTTATTGAAGAATTTGGTAATCCCGTAACTCAGCCTATGCGTCTTTACCGCGGCAACATTTCAACGATTTCTCTGGCCAATAATGCCATCTTTGATGTGAAGACCAAACATATGTAGATTGATCACCACTTTCTTTGTGATCACATCCATCTTAACAATATCAACTTGAACACATTCAACCTCAACAACAACTAACAGAAGTTCTCACGCCCTTCCCAAAAATCAAATTCATAATTTTTGCAAAGAACCGTTAGCTTGGAGGAGGGTATTATACATAACGCAACTAGTGGTCCTCAACACCAATAATATCATTCTATAGGTGATTGGTAACATGTGTGCCCATTACAGCTCACAACAGAAACTATAGAAGATTCTATAAAGGTCATACATACTCTGTAAATACAATAGGATGGGTGCAATGAAATGTATGTTTTCACGGTACTACCTTGAGGACTTTAGCTTGGAAATGCTACTTTTCCCTGTTCTCAGTTCTAAATAACTTTATCAACGATTAGAGCCTAATAAAGAGTCTAAATCTCGCGGGTTTTGGCACAAATCAAACCCACACTGAGTGAACTTCTAAATCTCGCGGGAATTGGTGCACTGCTTCGAAGACGCAGGCACTCCCCAAATATTAAAAGAGCCATCGTCGTCGTTCCCAACCGCATTGATTCTGACACACGACAATTCATCTAAACGTCCGAAAACAGAGCCTCTATCCGCAGGTCATACCAGAGCACATAGCCGTAGCTGTAGCGTACCGAGATAAGACCAAGCCAACCAACTCTTCGAAAATCGTCATCTTTTCAAGCAGTGCAAGCGCATGCGATGTGCTCGAGGTCTCCTTAACTCCCGGAGGAAAGAGCTACGTGTACGAAGTGGAGGGTAGAGAGAGTCGTGGCCAAGAACCAAAACATAGTGCGGCAGTGGAGATGTTAGATCCGGTTAGAAAGAGGGTTAAGCTGGGGTCTTCTGAGACAAGCCGTTGTTGGAGAAGGTGGTGGTATTCGTGGGAAAATCAGCGGAGTTGGAGAAGATACGGGAGATTATTATTGAAGGATTTTAATGAGGTGAGGACATCATAATCAGCGGAAAATAGCACAAATCTCCGTTCATTAAAGCCGAGAAGCGAAATCGAAGTCTTGATGGGGGTACTGCAAACTAGCTTCGACTCCACTGCTAATACTCTGAACATAATCAAAACAGAGTAAGAAATAGTGAAATAACCGTCAACAATCTTTCTCAGCAACCACCACCAACCCCCTCCTGCTCATCAAACCACCACCACCAGGGGAGGCATGACATATTTAAAAAAGTTAATAATTAAAAAAAAATAACACTTAATTCAAAATAAAATTCTATACTTTATTATCATAAATTAACTGCATAATATTAATATAATTTCAATAAAGTATGACTTAAATGAATTTAATATTAAACTATTTATTTATATTATTAACTAAAAATATAATTTTATCTTTTAACATTAAGCTTCACTATAAACATAATTCAATAAAAGTGCAGATTTATGTGAAGCTCGTACTAATTATAGAAAATTTAATTTTAAAATAATAAATAAATATATTCAAAATAATTAATAAATAAGTCTACATCTTCAGAGTAACTCTAACATCAACTAAATTTTTTTATTATCTATTTTACTTACATCAAATTTCACGAAAAATATATATATATGTGCCGCGTACTAAGATCAGTTAGTTGGGCATCTGTTTGTCAATTGTAAGTCCCCTCTGGACTTGGGTTTGATTCCCCCTAGTGTAGGTTCTGGTACTCGAATTCTTAAGCACATGAGTGATGATCAGAGCTCGTACAATAGCCCTCGATTATTCCTTTGATCTACCCCAGTGATACAAAAACTGATTCAATCTAAGTTCAACCAAGCCTGAAACAAATAGCTAAACCATTTTTATATGCTTTGGTTAGTTATTTGTGTTAGGTATGACTCATATACCAGGAATTTGGAGTTTCTTAGATTTTGAGAGGTGTGTCTCTCGGTCTTAAGATGTGTGTCTCTTGGATTATTGGGTTGGGGAGAGCGAGGGCGTGTTTGTAAATTTATCTGTGGGGTTTATCTATAAATAGATGTGTAACCTTATGAGTATGTAACTCCTCAGAAATAGTGAAATTCGCCGCTCTACTTCCGAGGATGTAGGCATCTTTGTCGAACCTCATTAAATCTTTGTGTTCTTCTGGATTTGTGTTGATTCATGTTTTTCTTCGCCCTAAATTACACAACAATTGACATCAGAGCAAGGTTCTAGGGCGGAGTAGATTGGCGCAGGAAGAATGAGGAAGAAGAAGGTTTTGGTTCAGCGGTTTGCGACAGTTTCTTAGAGGAGTTCAGTTTTGCCAAAAGAATCATGACAGTGCCTGCAAGAGGAGTTCGCAACATCTGTGATTCGTGGCAGGAAGTTCAGCAGTTTCGATTTCAGGTAGAATTGCGGCGGTTCCTTCTGCAGGTTGTGACAATTGTTCCCGCAAATCAGATCGTGTGCGAAGCGAGGAATCGCGGCAGATCGCAGGAAGTCACAGACGACATTTGTGAAGGAAGATTTTGCGGTGGTTTCCGTCCATTTCTTCGGCAAGGCTTCGACGCATGAACAACAGGAGAAGGATTTACGACAGTTTCAGCGAGGCAAAGGGCAAATCATTGTAGGAAGCGGTTAGTGCGAACATGAACTGTACAAGGGATCAAGGAATTTCTACGAGATTTCTATTGGGAGGAAGGGAAGGAATATAGGAATCTTTGGTTCCTACCAGATGAATAATCCTTCTAGATTTTCCCTTGGATGGAGGGAAGATAATTAAGGAAAGGAAAGTTTTTTCCTCTGAAGTTCCTCTGATTTCCTTTGGTTGAGGGTGGA